AGTTTTGCCTTCCACTTTTTACACCAGCCTTCGATAAGCTCAAGGTGTTCTTCGATATTGGGAAGGATTCAAGTTAAAGGGTAGAACTGTAGTATCGTCCGCATAGGTTGTGAGCTGAAAGCATGCTGGAGCTGAAAGATCGAGGGTTCGAATCCTGCTCGTGACGCGAGCTTTCTCACCTCAAACAAGACCTTAGATTAAAAGTTAAAATAACAGTAATGTAGGAAGTTTATGGCCGACAAACAGGGAGTATTTTTACTTCTTTTCCTGTCTTTCACGCGAATTTTTCAACTTGCAGTCATTTGAGCGGCTATCTGCTTTTTTATGAAAACTAAGTCGATTTTCTAAATTGCTAGCCTCTCATTTGTACCTCAAGTTGTCAATTACAGAATAAATGTATAATATAACTTTCACCCCATAAATTAACATAAACACAACACCCGATACAAAGATAAAGTCTGGTCGTACTGCTGGTACAAAACCTTTAATTATATCAACTTTAGTGTAAATTTAATAATAAATAGACCTTTACGCAAGATATTGGTTGAGATAAAAAAGTCAGTGTCACGAGCGGAATTCGAACCCACGATCTTCGGCTAAATACGCCGCTGCTCTACCACTTGAGCTATCGTGACTTCGATCCATTCGGACACCAACTTCCCATCTCAACCCCACCTTTCGAATTTTCCCTCCTTTTTATCTCAACCAATACCTTGCGTAAAGATTAATTAATTGAAAAAGTTATTCGGTCAACCGTCCACGAACTCTAATGGATTTAATCAGTAAAATGAAGTATATCTTCACTAAAGCTCTCCGTGGCCATTTCATTTATCACCAAGAATCGAATCCTGATTACACGGCATTTGAAAAATGGCAAAAAGGAGGGAAAAGGCGAAAGGTTGTAGGTTGAGATTGGGAGTTGGTGTCCGAGTGGATCGAAGTAACGATAATTGGTTAGAGCAGCAGCGTATTTAGCCGAAGATCGTGTGTTCGAATCCCGCTCGTGACACTGTCTTTTTTATCTCATCACCTCAAACAATACCTTGCGTAAAGATTAATTAATTGAAAAAGTTATTCGGTCAATCCGACCACGAACTCTAATGGATTATAAATAGAGTAAAGGAAGTTTAAGTCCTCTAGATCTGGTAATTCTAGAAAAGGAAATATGACTGCATTTAGATAAATTAAGCGAAAGATAATTTAAAGAGTAAATGACATAGAGCAGTTTAAATCCCAGCAAATAAATAAAAATAAATTATTTAATTAATAATAGGTCTTAAGAGGAAAATAGGAAATGAATTAAAATGTGTTTAATGTATATGAAATCTTTCTTCTTTTATTTGTACCTAAGCGATAATTTATTGGATGAAACTGAATTTAAACGTGATAATAATAATTTCGTTATTTAATGGTGACAATGGAAATTATTTGAGGATGCTATTAAAACATTAAAAAAGATATAAAATTTAAGTTTTTGCAATAAAACGTTTAGTTTGTCAGACACTTCTCGCAGGTTTTCATTAAACAGAGATATAATAATAATAATATAAGGGTGTCGGTAGCGGCAACGGTAGGCGTTTACACGGCGCTCATCACTGTAATGTAAAGGTCCCGGATTCGAATGCAGGGTTCTATCACTATGATTTTTTGGTAATTTTTTTTTCAATTCAATAATAGTTATTCTCATGAATTTTTGATCTTGCTTGATATGGTTTACAATTTTGTAATTTATATAAAGATAAAAATACATATAGTTTGAAATAAACTACAAAATATGAGTGACCGGATTTTTTTGTCTTTGTGTATATATATATATATATATATATGTGTGTGTGTGTGTGTGTGTGTGTATTTATACTAATATAATAAATAGAGAAATTATTCAGAAATCGTGAGATGCGGTCTGGTGTGATGTAGGTTTCAGAAAAACATTTTCCTTATGGTGCCAACGTTTCGATCTTTATTGAGATCATCTTCAGGGCTTAAAGTGTTTGTGTTCTGTGTAATTGTGCCATTCTTGCGTGTCGTGTTGAGAGTCTCTGAGAGTTGGCACGATAAAGAAAATGTTCTTCTGAAACCTACATCAAACCAGACCGCATCTCACGATTTCTGAATAATTATCGATTAACGGTCACTAATCACCACACATTTCTACACATAAATAGAGAAAGTTTTGTAAAAGGTAATCTCGAAATCTACTGGTCCGATTTTGATCAAATTTTTTTATACGTGTTCCTTATGATTATAGGAATGGCAGACATAGTTTCATCTTGTTATTATTGCAACGCAGACGTACGCAGATTAATGAAAAACACCGCCGTTTAATGCTGCTTCTTTGCATTTCAGACCAAAAGTGAAGAGACTGGAGAGCAATATCACACTCGCAGTACTGGAGAAACATGAGCGCGATATCTATTATTTCACTGTCCTGAATGGTTAAACATCTGGGTCAAAATACAAAATTTAAGCCGTTTTCACAATTTCTCAGTAAAGGATTACGTGCGATACCTATCGTACTTTCCTGAAATGTTTTTGATTAAAAAAATTTAACAAATATTTTGTTCAGATAGGAATTTAATATTGTTTTACTGTTTACGTCCATTCTAGAGGGGTGAACTACTCTGATGGGGACTGACGACAATGTCCGCAACCGGTATGGAGGGTTTCGTTATAAAATATACAAGAAATCTTCTTTTTGTACCGGGGAATGCAAAAATTGTCCGTTAAGAGGGGTTTCACTGTATAAAAATTCTGTTATTTTACTGACTGCAGTTTCTCACTTTTTTCCATTATCTGGCTCTCAACAAGCCAATATATGAAGGGTACGGCAAAAACTGAAATTTTTTAAACTGAAAACGAGAATTAATGCGATCCAGGCTAACGGCTAGAATATAGGAAATATACAGGGTGATTCGTTTCTCGCACAAGGTTCGTCAGGTCAAATGAAACTAAAAATTTGTATGAACCGATTCTCAACCCTTTCGCAGATATTCACACAACAGCACAGAAATAAAAAAGCACAAAAAGAAAGAAAAATGAAACAAAACAAATAAAAAAGACAATAAATATAAGGAACAACCAAACCAGTAAAATTGGACAAAATATACTAATCACGAAAAAAAGAAGAAAAAAAAACAATACAGAAGATGTAAAGCCCAGCTTTAATCTAATAATAAAAAGAAAATTCAACGTAAAGTGGTTGTTCGTTGTTTATTTTACCTTTTTTATGTATTTTGTATCATTTTTCTTACTTTTTGTGATTTTATATTTTTGAATTGTTGTTCTTTTTTTCTTTTGTATGTGTTTATTGTATATGTTTTGTCCGATTTTTCTGCTTTTGTTGTTTATTGTCTCTTTTTTATGTGTTTTGTTTCATTTTTCTTTCTTTTTGTGCTTTTTTATTTTCCAAGTTGGTAAATAAATTTTGCCCAGGGAAAAAGATGAATTACTAGATTAACATCTCTCCCCCTTTTTCAAAAGACAAAAATTTCAATGTTTTCCCCCTGCTTTTTTCAATTCTACTTTTTTTAGCAAAAAATTTCTGCCATTTGGTTCGATGTGATTAATGAAAAGGGTATCACCGCTAGAAAGCTTATTGAATGATGAAGTTGTTATGAAATTTTGCTTGTTCTACCGTGAATTTTTCCATTCCAGAGGTTGCCAATTTTATGTGTTTGTTTTGTTATCAAAAATTAAATTGAAAATTCTAGAACAGGGCCTTCTCAAAGGAAATTTAACCTCTTTTCAATGCTTTTTTTTTTGGATTTACACAAAAATGAACACTCAAGTGTAGATTTATGACGAAAACTGTAGATACTTGACAAAAACATAAAATGTTGAATATTTGAGAAATGGTTAAGAATCGGACCACGGTTCATACGATTTTTTTTGTTGTATTTGATGTTTACAAGGCTTTGTCGTACGAGTATCACTGTATATTTGTTATCTATTATTTATTTACATATAACTGTCAATAATCTAATCATTTTATAGTTTACAACGGTAAATAAGTACGAATAAACAACAAAATTAATAAAATAAAAGCTGCTCGTATATAAAAAATCAAGTGAAAAGGGAATTTGAAAAAATGAAAAAAGACGCATTGTCTGGTCCTTCAAGCTTTCGAAGAACACATCAATTTATCTGGATTTTGAAACTACTAGAAATTAGTAGATTAGGAGCTATGGTCTCGTCCGCACTATCAAAATCATAAATTTATAATTGAAACATTAATTTTCAATATTTTAAGTAGAAGTTTATATTTTTTAACCGCTTAAATCATAAAAAATCTTTTGAAAGTCCTGATAAAGGTTGTATAATCCTCGAAAGATTGACGAAAGAAGTGAACGTTCTCTTTTTCATGACTTTCAGATTAACTTTATCCAGGATTTTTTTTATATACAATTATAATATTGAGGCTGAAATTAAATCCCGTCAAGTAATAAAATATGCACATAGTAAACGTGAGCATCTTCACAAGGGAGATAAACCTGCAAAACTAGTAATATTTTGTAGGTACTTGATAAAAGATCATTAATTTTATGTATATTGTTATTGTACTTTGGAAATTACGAGTGAGGAATACCCAAAGAAAAAACTGGGAGATTTCCCTCCATGTCTGCGGGGTGGTAAATCTATAGTTTTATAGTTACCTATCATCTAGGCATGTCTGATTTTAGGATTAAGATTAAGATAATTCTTATTACTAGTTAGATAGGCAGACCAAGATGATAGTAACTATCAATAAGGTTTATCATTCGCAGACCAAGGGAGGAAATCTTGAAAAGTGAAAATTAATTTTTCAATCAGAGGTTTCAAAATGCATGATATGCATATCGAGGGAGGTCGTTCTCGAATATGATTGGCAATTGCTAAAAAAGGTTTGTACATTATTACATATTTTTAATATTTGTATATGATAACGCATATTGAAAGACTACACGTGAATAAACAAACTTCGATTATTTCGAGCAGTAAGACTGAATCTTGGGTATACTCACTTGGGGATCGCTAGACTTGGGAGTGTTGGTAGTAACTGTGTTGAGGCGGTGCATGCCTAAAACCCAGTTGGCACGAGGGCGGGTCGAACATTTCCGGGTTGTCCCCGTACCAGTGCCTGTACCCCTGTTCCTCGTACTGGCAGTAGGAGTACATGGCCGTGGACGGTCCCGCCGGGGGTCCGGCACACCTCGCCGAGGGATAAGTGACAAGGGAATCGACGGAAAAACTATCGTATTCCGCTTTGACTTCGCACGGCGACAGTTCCGGCTCCCTCTTGGGGGTCTTTTCTTTTTTCTCTTCCCTCCTCATCAACTCCTGCTGCCTCTTCATGGCTTCCTCTTTTTCTCGGAGGGCGTCTTTTTTCTTAAACCTCCTTCTCCTCCTCAGATAGGAACCGTTGTCGAACATGTTATACGAATCGGGATCCAGCGTCCAGTAACTACCCTTGCCCGGTTTCTTATCGTCACGGGGTACTTTCACAAAACACTCGTTTAAGGACAAATTGTGCCTGATGGAATTCTGCCAGCCTTGTTTGTTCTCTCTGTAGTAGGGGAATCTTTCCATGATGAACTGATAGATCCCGTTCAGGGTACACCTCTTGTCCGGGGCGTGCTGTATCGCCATGGCGATGAGGGCGATGTAGGAGTACGGCGGCTTGACCATATCCTTGGACGGGACATGGTGGGTCACCGGTTGGTAGCCGGTCGTCGGATGGTAACCCGCGTACCTGGAATAATCGTAACCGGTGGGATATCCGGCTCCCGCGGGGAATCTGCTGTAGTACGTTTGGTCTCCGAATAGCGTGTGCATGTTCCTTAAAGAGAGAGGACGTGATAGACAGACAGAGACGGGGAACGTAAAAAACCGAGGGTTCGACCCTGGCTTCTACTCGGAGAACACTGTTATTTGACACAACACGGTACAGTTGACACAGAGATTATGAGAAAACACCCTGCGTTTGTTGGCTTTGGACTAGTGAAAATACCCGGTGGAGTCCCTTCTCCCACCAAGGGATGGAAGCTCCGCCCTGTTCGGCCCCCTCTTCCAATCCGGCTTCCCCTCCAATCGACCGAGGGTTGACTCAGGGTAATCTGCATACTCTTCCACCCTCGCCCCTACCTTCAAATAGACAAAACCCAATTAACGTTACACCCTGCAACCCCCTCGGGCACTTCGCCCCAAACGCCGAATTATAAAGGCCTCCCGTCTCTCCAAGCCGAATCAATTTTAAAACAAAAAGCCCCCATTTCAATTCCAAACTCCTTTTATCACCCCGACCCACCCTCCGACCACCCCACAATTCAACCACCCACCATTCAATGTATTGCCATCTATCTTGACTGTTGATTTTTTTCCTTCTGCTTTCTTTCTGATTTACCTCCTAACTTAATTTCCCGAAACCACCCCCTTTTTTCTCTTCCCTCCTTACGATCACTTTTCATTTTTCATCGTTTCCAGTTTTCACATTTTTTCACATGTATTACTTTCGACGAATTTATCCATTCCGCCTCCCAAATTTACTCCATTAATCTCTGAGGGGATTAGCAGGAAAATCATTACTGCTAATATGAGCTATCTTGGCCTTTCAAAATAAACTGGTCAAAAATGAATGGTAATATTGCCAATGTTGTAGTATTTACTTTCCCTTGCATTTTTTAGTTTAGTTTTATTATTAATTACATTAAAATTTATTAGAAATTATTATGTTTTTACTGAAGGAAAATTTAATTAAGGGATTTTGAAAAATAACAAAATAAAAGGTGGCCGCAACGGTTTAGGCGTTGACACGGCGCTCATCACTGTAAAGTAAAGATCCCGGGTTCGAAACCAGCGGCCCTGCATTCAAACCCGACATACTTACAAATGGGCTTTTTTTCAAAAAACCGGCACCCCGAGAGTTTATATGACCTCTGCTATTGGGAACCCTCGTAAATATAAAAAAATAAAATAAATAAAAAAGTAAAAAATAAAAGGTTTTAAGTCCATAATTTTGACTATTGAACACAATAATTTTTTAAACAATTAATACCGTGCAAATCCTCTGTTAGCTAAAACCCCTGTGCACCGGTTAGGCATATGCTAAGGTTGTCACTAATGTCATAAGGAATTTCATGCCGTAGATGTTGCAAAGCTGCACTCAGTTTTTGCACGTCAGCGGCTGCGGATGATGATCGAAAAGCTTTCTCTGCAACGCATCCCACATGTGATCAATGGGATTGAGGGCTGGAGGCAATGGAGGAAAGGGAAGATGATCCCAGGTTTTCTAAACATCGATGAACAACTCTGTCTCTATGAGGTCTAGGATTGTCTGCCAATGAGATCCCTGGTTTGAGGGATGTATTCCTCGGTAATTTCTTGGACATAACAGACTGCGCTGAGGTTGCCTTAAAATTATGGAGTCCAGTTCGTCCTCCAATATAAATCCCACCCCAGACCATTACACCGCCTCCTCCAAACTGCACTGAGGAAGCACGAACTCGGACATTGTACGCATACCCTGTTCTAGGTAGCTTCGACGCCTACTATTACTATACAGACCGAAATGCGACTCATCAGTAAACATAAGAGCATTCCGATTGGTGTTCTATTCTAAGCGCTCGTTGCACTATATTTTCCTGAGTTGCTAGTGGCGGGCTGTTGCTGTAAGTCGTTTCAAAGGGGCATACGATGTGAGGCCGACAATCGTTTGTGTGGATGAAAGCCTTACCAAAACATCTTGTACTTTTAAGATCTAGTTGACACTGTGAAAAAGATTCTTGCAGCAATGACAATATTTCTGATCTTCCTTGGCGTCGTAATGCTGTGAGATCCATACATGGTACCTCCTATTGGCATTTCCAGTCTCTCGGAATCGGGGTAAAACCCCCAAGACCCCGCTCTGAGAAAAGCCCGCCAACTGCTTCTGCGATATCACTTTGCTGGTGACCTCCATAACTCGTTCTCACAGTACTATTGCGAACTTCCCGTTCAAGATACTGTCTTTCCATGGTTAAAGAGAGCAACTGGATTAAAATGTAGAAAAGACGAGAAAAGGTGTTTGATTACAAAATGAGCGATTTTCATGTTGACTATTCTTAAGTAAATCCGTTATTAAAAATGAGGTTTAACATTTGTTTGTTTTTGCTTTGTATTTTCTATTTTCTTTTGTCAAACTAACACAAATATATTGATTAATTTAATTAAAACTAATAGAATAAGGTGATAAAGATGATCGGCCTTCAATAATTAAATGTATGCGGATCGGGGATGAACCATACATGGGGTAAAAGTAGACAGAAAAACTGTCAAGCTTTAGGCCTTCCTGAGGATTCTATTTCATACAAAAAAACGAAAATTTTTATATTATTACTTGATTAAAGGCATTCTGTAATCATTATTGGCTAGAGCATTTATCACAATTTTCTTACATTCAGAACGAAACTGAGGGGATATCAATATCAAGTAACCACCATCACTTCTAGATAGATATTGCCTGTTTAAAACATTGTCGTACTTTTGTTTTTAGTTTATTTGGTTGTTTTTTGTTTGATTTATTGCATCTCATTGGCTCTGCTTGATGCTGTTAATATTGCAGTAATTATTGTTGAACCCTTGGTATCACTTCATGAGTGTCTCTTTTTTGTTTTTGTCTCAGAGAGCCTCGTAGACGGGCTCGTTCCAACTTTCCATATTCTTCGAGGCAACACGTCGAATTAATATTTTTGTAAATTTTTATTTAAAGTAAGTTTTTATTGTTATAAATTATTTTTCAGTACATTTGGGAAGCAATTGAATATTGTGGAAGCAGTTGTTTTTCTTTCTACATTTACCTTCGTTGCTTCATCACCGATCAAAATCACACAAAATCAAAATTAGGCGAAGAAGAACCTTCGACCGCTCACTACTGACATATGCTTCTCAAACTTGGACCATCAGCAAACATACGAAAAGAATCTCTTGAATAATGAAGTATAGGATCTGTACAAAGAAGCGAATGCCGTAACTGCAATAAAATTATCAAGATTAAGCTGGCTTGGACATGTGAGGATGGAGGAGGCTGAATTGCCAGCAAAGAAAATTGGTTAACAACTCGGCCCGAGCAAGACGTTGGAATAGGTTAGGCTTAAGTGGCTTGATAAATAAATGGAAATGATAGGAAATTTTTCTACAAAATTTGGCTGTGCTGGAAAATTCCACTGAAGTAATGGGGCAAATTTTGCAGCAGATTATACACTGATTGTAAGAGGGAAAAAGATTGGCCACCCTTAACATTTTTAATTATCTCTTAGACAATCCCGCAATGATTTTCTTACAATATTTGGTCCGTTATAAGGGGTTAGAGGTAAATAAAAGATAAAATCTCCCACCTGTTTACCATTGGATATTGTAAACAAATCTTTGAATAGTCAATCTTCTTTGTTGATTTTTCTGTAAAGGTGGTTTTATTTAAGTTGTACCATTTTTAAGTTTCAAATTTGTGTGCTTTAAGTGATACAAACTCAGCTAGAATCATGGCATTGTTGGAAGATAGATAAGTCAAGCGTAGTCGCCAGGGTGCTTAACATTTCCAGAGCAACTGTCCGAAGGGTCTTCCATCGCTACCAAGATACTGGAGGTTACTCAAGAAGGCATAGATCAGGTCGCCATCTAGTTACATCTCAGGGAGAAGTTCGTTTTATAGATTCGAATGTACTCGGTAATCGACCTTGAGATCAAGATCAAGCTGTTGAGATCAAGCAACGACTTGAACAAGTCAGAAATGCTTCAGTTTACGCACTGTCGAAGACTATCAGAAGCTGGATTACGTGCGAGAAGGCCTGCCACTGGTTCAGAACTTTTGACAAGGCGCAGAACACCTCGGTTAAATTTCGCAAGAAATCACATCAATTTGTCTGAGCAAGTTTGTACTAAAATTTTGACGGCCGAGAAGAACAGAGGAGCAATATATCCCCACAACATTTTCACTCGAAAAAGCTATGGAGGTGGTGGTGCTATGGGATAGAAAAGTAGGGGAAGAAAAGTAAGGGCACTCTTCGGTCGGATGTGACGCACCGAGCCAGTGCTGCCAATACACGGGATGGACCATTGAAGGAAAAACATTGCACCCGCCCTAAACTCATGGGATTAACTATGGTTTATTAAATTTGCTAAATTTGGTGTTGCTCTGAGGCAACGTCGGCAAGAAAGGGTTAAGAGTTCATCTGCAGAAACAACAGATAAGAACTTAAGCATTAGAGATCTTCATTTTCAAAGTACATAAAGAGTCTGAGAAAACAACACAGTCTGCAGAAGTTGAGTTTCCTAGGGAGGCGTGTGTACAAGATGTCGAGGAACTCTCAGGACAAGACTTGAAATAATCTCTGCTTTGCATGTGAAGGTAAGACAGACAACTCGCCGTCTATCTAACTAAGAAGCCTAGTAAAAAAAGCCTATCAACATAGGCAAGCAAGGTAATTAAATGCGTCAAACCTTAAAGTCAAGGAACTAGTAGTCCTACGTTGGACTGATTCAACTTGATTAATCTCAGCTTTAAGAAATAGATTCCAGACAATACAATACGCAAGATGATTGCGGGCCAATGATTGATATAACATTTTAATATCAAAGGCGTTACCGAAGACCCTAGTAGTCTTAGTAAAGCTTAAGACAATACAGAAATTTTTTTAAAGCCTTACTTTTAATCTTGTGCGATCACGAAAAGTGCATTTACAATTAAAAATAATACACAAGTAATTTATTTCATTTACTTTATCCAGGGAAGATCACAACCTATGTGATACGACGAAAAATCAGATCCTTCAGCTTAGATGACACATCGAATTTAATGCTTTTGGTTGATTGACACGCAAATCATTATTACAACACCAGGCAAAGAGAGCATTTAAATCTAATTGAATTAATCCACAAGCAATGAAAGAAATATTGAAAAATAACTTTCGGTCATCCGCTAAAAGAGAGTTCGAAGAAAAAACGAAAAATCGATTAAGCGTCATTGAAATATAAGAAAAAAAATTATAGGCCTAAGAAGAGAGCCTTGAGCGACACTCCAGACAAAATTCTACATGAATGGGATAGAACCATTAGACACAACCCTGTGAGCCCTTTCAGTCAGAAATGATTCAAACCAAGAAAAAAGTGGATCTAGAGAAGAGCACAAAAGATAACCCTGTCGAAAGCTTTCGACATGCAAGACTAAATAGCATGAAA